TGCTCTCTCTAGGACCTCTATCATAAAGAGGTGTCAGATTTTGTCAAAGGCTTTTTCACCATCTTGTAAGATGATCATGTGGTTTTCCCTTTGCAGTTTGTTTATATGGTGGATTACATTGATAGATTTTCATATGTTGAACCATCCCTGCATCCCTGGGATAAAGCCTCATGGTGGATGATTTTTTGATGTGTTCTGGGATCCAATTTGCCAGTATTTTAGCATCAATGTTCATGAGGGAAACTGGTCTGTAGTTCTCTTTCTTAGTTGTGACTTTGTGTGATTTGGGTACCAAGGTAATTGTAGCCTTGTAAAAAGAATTTGGCAGTGGACCTTCTGCTTCTATTGCCTGGAACACTTTGAGGAGTATTGGAATTAGCTCTTCTTTGAATTTCTGGTAAAATTCTGCACTGAAGCCATCTGGACCTTGGGTTTTTTTGGGAGGGGGGAGACTTTTGATGACTGCTTCTATTTCATTAGAGGTTATAGGTCTGTTTAGATTATTTATCTGTTCTTCATTTAGTTTTGGCAAGTGATACCTATCCAGAAAATTGACCATTTCCTTTAAATTCTTGAATTTTGTGGAGTACAGGTTTTCAAAGTATGTCCTGTTGATTCTCTGGATTTCCCTGGTGTCTGTTGTTATGTTCACTTTTTCATTTCTGATTTTTTAATTAGCATGTTTTCTCTCTGTCTTTTGGTTAGGTTTGATAAAGGCTAGTCTATCTTGTTGATTTTCTCAAGGAACCAACTATTTGTTTAATTGATTCTTTGTATTGTTTTCTTTGTTCCTACTTTACTGATTTCAGCTCTCAATTTGATTATTTCCTGGTGTCTACTCCTCCTGGGTGAGTTTGCTTCTTTTTGTTCTAGAGCTTTCAGCTGTGCTGTTAATTCTCTAGTGTGACTGTTCTCCAGTTTCTTCATGTGGGCACGTAGTGCTATGAACTTCCCCCGTAGCACTGCTTTCAAAGGGTCCCATAGGTTTGGGTATGTTGTGTCTTCATTCTCATTGAATTCTAGGAAGTCTTTAATTTCTTTATTTCTTCCTTGACCCAGGGATGGTGCAATTATGCATTGTTCAATTTCCATGAGTTTGTGGGATTTCTGAAATTAGTGTTGTTGTTGAATTCTAACATTTAGCCATGGTGATCCAACAAGATACAGGGGGTTATTCCAATGTTTTTGTATGTGGTCAATTTTAGAGAAGGTTCCTTTAGGTGCTGAGAAGTTTTTTCTATTTTGTTTGGGTAGAATGTTCTATAGGGATCTGTTAAAACCAATTAAGCCATAACTTCTTATATTTTTGGTTGTGAGCCTAGTCTTTAATGGCTGAGCCATCTCTCCAGTACAACCCATAACTTCTTATAGTTCCTTAATTTCTATATTAAGTTTCTGTCTGGCAGTCCTGTGCAGTGATGAGAGTGAGGTGTTGAAATCTCCCACTATTAGTATGTGGAATTTTGATGTATGACTTAAGCTTTACTAATGTTTCTTTTACAAACAAGGGTACTCTTGTATTTGGGGCAACAATACCACTCCTGGTCATATACCCAAAAGATGCACAGTCAATACCACAATGATATTTGCTCAGCGATGTTCATAGCAGCATTATTCATAATAGCCAGAACCTGGAAACAACCTAGATGCCCCTCACCTGAAGAACAGATAACAAAAATGTGGTACATTTAGACGATGGAGTATTACTCAGTAGGAAAAAAACCCGACATCTTCAAATTCGCAGGCAAATGGATGGAATTAGAAGAAACCATCCTGAGTGAGGTAACCCAGACACAGAAAGACAAACATGTTATGTACTCACTCATAGGTGGATATTAGACATAGAAAAAAGGATAAACAACCTACAGTGCACAGCCCCAGAGAAGTCAGGATACAAGGAAGACACTACGAGAAACATATATAGATCCCTCAGGAAAGGGAAATAGACACGACCTCCTGAGTAAATTGGGAGCATGGAGGATGGTCAGAGTGAGAATGTGAGGAAAACATGAGGGTCAGGAAGGTTGGAGTTGAGGGAAGGACAGAGAGGGAGAGCAAAGAAAGTGATACCTTGATAGACAGATGCATTATGAGGTTAAGGAGACACTTGACACTAGGGAAATCCCAGATATCCACAAGGATGACCCTAACTAAGAATCTAAGGAATAGTGGAGAAAGTGCCTTAACTGCTCTTCCTCTGTAATCAGATTGATGTCTAGCTTAATTTTCATCATAGAACCTTCATCAAGCAACTGATGGAAGCAGATGCAGAGATTCATACTTAAGCACTGGGCTGAACTCCTGGGTTCCAGTTGTAGAGAGGGGGGAGCAATAATATGAGCAAATGTGTGTCAGGACCATGATGAGGAAACACACAGAAACACCTGACCCAAGCAAGTGGGAGCTCACTAACTCTGCATTGACAGTTGGGGAAGCTGTACAAGACAGAACTAGGCCCTCTGAATGTGGCTGACACTGGGTGGCCTTGGCAGTAGAACCAGTATTTATCCCTAGTACATGAACTGGCTTTTTGGAGTCTATTCCCTATGGAGGGACACCTTGCTCAGCATAGATATGTGGCAGGGTGGGGGGGTGGCCTTTGTCCTGCCTTAAGGAATGTCACAGAGTTTGATGATTCCCCATGGGAGGCCTCACCCTCTCTGAGGAGTAGATGGGGACAGGGTGGGGAGAAGATGAGGAGAACGGGAGACAGGGGGTGTGGAAACTGGAATTGGTTAGTAAAATAAGATTGTTTATAAAATATAAAAAAAAACTTCTTGCCACAAAAAACAAAGATTTCCCCCTGAGTCTTAATATTACCTGATATTAAACCAGATAGTAAGTGGCACTTGGTGGCATACTCATTTTATTCCAGCACTATGGAAGCAGATATAGGTGGATCTCAGGAAATTTGAGGGCACCACTGTGTAGAAATGGAGTTCCAGGAGAGCCAGTGCTGTTACACAGAGAAACCCAGTCTTAAAAAAATAAAAACTAAAAAATAAACCGCACCAGATAGTGATACAACCAAAAAGGAATCACTGACTGATACAGTCATTTAAAAAATGTTCTGGAATCTTGCCTCCTGCTTCACCCTCAGCCCTCTGCTTCAGGTGGGTGTGGGCTCTGCTTGGGGCCCCAACTCCTACATCTCCCTCCGTGGATCTTCCTAGGCCTATTCTACACCTAGAGCGGAACCGCCTCAGCAGAAAGGACCACCCTGAGTCTGGCCAAACCTCAGTCTTGGCCCCCCTCAGCCCTCCACCTTCTGCTGGAGGTGAGTATGGGCTCTACTCAGGTCAGGGCCCCAACTCCCTACATGCCCCTCCTGGGGCTGCCCCTCACCTATAGTGTCTCAGAATCACCTGCACCCATAGTGAGACCCATCAGAGCATTGGACCTGCTTGAAACCACTGGAAGAGCAGGACGGGTTCAGATGCCATTCTCTAGACTCCACACAGCTGTTGTGATCAGTAACCAACAGCAACGGTACTGACCTGCACTGACCTCACACTAGAACACAGTCAGTCTAGGAAAGGGAAAGGCTCACAGGGCCCCACCCTTAACTCTCAAATGCTGTCTATGGATGGATTGTAGGAGGAGAATCACTGCCTTTAGCTGCAGTCCTCTGCTGAGCCCAGCAGGCTCCAACACACAGCTCCAAACCTGCATTCTCATAGATGGCCCTTGTCAGTCTCAATCAGAAGTTAGCTGGCGGGGCTGTGCTTTACAGCTCTGGGTGTGCTATACAGACAGTGCACAACAGTGACCTGCAGAACATAGCAACCACCCTGGGAGGGACTATGGGCCATAACAACCAGTTGACCAATCAACACAGGGCAGGTCACCCAAGCATGGAAGTGCACCAACCCTGAGACTGTTTCATACCCCTAGACAATCCCCTTATGCTGTCCTTTAAGATCCCTGCATCGAGGTTGCTTGGGGTCTTTCTCCAGCCATTCGCCATGGTGGCGGGGTGAAGGGCCCGAGGTAATGGGGTTAGCTCGTTAAACATCTACAATAAAAGACTCTTTGCTTTTGCATTGAAATGGGCCTCTTGGTTTTTGGGGTTCAGAACTTGGGCACAACAGTTTTCTAAATCTGGCACAGCAAGAGTTTCTGCATTCACCACTGGCTTAAAAATAAAAATAATAAATTGTATGTTTTATCTCAAAACAGGTTTAGCATGAATCGCAGAAGACCAACTTGTTTCTGGAATGGTAAAATGAAATGACAAGACCGCCATCTAGTGGTGAGCGACATATAGCGCAGGATGAACTTGTCCCAGGGCTGTTAGCAATGGGCTGACCACTGACTTCTGGAGACACTGATTTATTTTCAGAATCCAACTTCCTGAAATGCCTCTCCCCCAGGTACAGCTGCAGTATTTGGTTTTGCCTTGTGATGTTTGTGTTGGCGATGGGACGCTGGCATCTGAATTTAGCCTGTTATCGTCTGGTGTGATTTTGCTGCCCTGGAGTCTGGTGGTCAAGTCAGGGTTAGGCTGCCTGTCTTTTCTCTGAAGGTTTCAGAACTCACTGTGGGGTCAGACCCCGGGGTGCAGCGTCCTCCCGGATGCAGCTCTGGTCTAGGCTGCAGCAAGCGTGTGTGGAGTCTGTGCAGAGGGGGTCCAGGGCAGCCTGACAGCAGCAGCCATGGGGAAGGCGGTGAAGACCGAGTGGGAGGGGCGGGGCCGTGGGGGCGGGGACACCTGTCAATCAGAGGAGTTGAGCGGAAAACAAAACAAAAAACCAAACTGCAGCATGGATTTGCGAAACTCAAGAAAACAAAAACAAAAACAAACAAACAAAAAAACCTCGCGGTTGGCGGTTGGAGGCAGGCGGATCTCTGTGAGTTCGAGACCAGCCTGGACTACCAAGCGAGTTCCAGGACAGCCTCCAAAGCCACAGAGAAACCCTGTCTCGAAAAACCAAAAAAAAAAAAAAAAAAAAAAAAAAGAAGGCAAGTCACAGGAAGTGGTATGTAGTGGGCGGGGCCAGGAGGAGGAGGAGCCGTCTCCAAGGAACCAGGCTAAAGTGACAAGAAATCCCTCCGTTCCGTGTCGGACTCGGGGAGCCCCGCGCTACAGACCGGGGTGCGGAGGACACGGCGGGCGCCTTGGGGACCTGGAGACTCCGGAGCCGCTGTGTCCGCGCGGGGCGGGCGGCCTGGGAAAGTCAGCGTCAGCAGCAGCGCAGTGGCGGGAACCGCAGCCCGGCGGCCCTGGAACCTCCCAGGTCAGAGGAGCCGCGGGGCTGGGACCCGGGAGGGAGGGGACCGGGCTGTCGTGGAAGGCTGAGATCCCCTGAAGTGGGCCTTATCGTGATTAGTTTTCACTTACGGATGCCGGACTATTCTGTCGTAATACAACACGTAAAATAATCCAGTAGAGCGTTTGCATGGTGTTTTGTTTGCAAACAGGCTTCTCTCCGCTATCGTGGCAGTTCCCAAGCTCCTGGAATTTAAATGCAGCCTTGCGGTCTGACTCCCCCGTTTCACCACTTGCCTCTTTCGCCCCGAGGTTTTACGAGGAGTAGGCATTCCCACGGAGGTCTGTTGATTGAATTAGGAAAATAAACATCAGCGCTCCAGTTATGGCTGGAAACATTGACATTTACCAAGCAAAGTTTTTTTGTCGCCCACTAATGTCCCGAGATATATGCAGTCTTGGATGTCAATACAGCATTCACACACGTGTCTTCCTATGTTGTGTGAATGTTGCATCTTAGGTCCAGGCAAATGCAGTGTGCCTGCTGTGAGAATATATCAGGCCACAGTATCGTATGGCTAGCAAACTCGTGAAACTAAATTTTAGAAATCATCAATAATTATGATCATTCACCTGTATCAGAAAAAAAAATGTGTCCTTGGTTGAAGAAAAGAGCTCTGCGTACGTGGCCAGACTGTTGTACTTTATTTTAGGGTTCCTTGCCTTTAAGTAGACTTCTTATAGGAGGTGTGGGCAGAGAGCTTTTTTTCTAGAGATCTCCTGTGGGAGAACTGTAGAGGTCCGGATTCTCGTGCGAGAATAGTTTTGCTGCAGTCTCCCTTAATCCTCCTCCTCCGGGATCCTAGGGGAAACTACTCTGCATGTGTGTGAGCTGTGTGTGAATGAGTCTCACATCTTAGGGAGTAAAGTGAAATCCTTAGAGAAAGAGGTGTGTGTGTGAGAGAGAGAGAGACAGAGACAGAGAGAGATGTTTTCTCTGCTTCCTGTTTGTCCTATTTCAGCTGAAAAGCAATTACAAAAGACAGTACCTCATCCCTTATCATTAACACAAGGTTGGAATGCTAGGTTGAAAGGAATCTAGTTGCCCTCTACCAAAGTAGCCATTTCCGTATCACTGTCAAAAGTGACAAATGACTGTCTGTGGTGCCTATTAGCATGCTGATGCTCATGCCTGCTTCCAGAGACCTTCAGTTTTGCAAATACCATCACAATGAGAGAGTTAGAGAAAGGTTTATATAAGATGGGGCCTAGGACCTGATTGAATGTCTTAATTAAAATACTAACCATTCACCTTACATAAATGCGAATCAGTTACTTGATTCCTATGATATAGAACCAGTGCGGAATGTGAAGTTAAAGAAACTGTCTTGGTACCCAACATCCATCTGTCTCTGACTCCAGTCCCTGGAAAATAAATTTTCAGTAACCATGATCCAGTGACACCCACCCACTCAAAAGTGTACCGCCATGACTATCTGTTATATGACTAACTGCCTTTTTTGTTTCTGTAGGTTGCTTACAAAGATAACCAAAGTTTATTGGGGGTTGCCTTTACCGATTAACTGGGCAGAGCAGAACAGGTTTCTGCTTGCTTATGTAGACATTGAAGGTCTTCTTGTGGTTTTCCTCTTTAAAAACCCTCCTGTCACCTTACATTCATTCTCAAATTTGGCTCAAAGATTGCTGATCCAGCTGGTAACTAATAAATAAGTCTTTTAACTTATAATTGGATTGAGTCTATCCAACTATTAAATGTAAGCACTTATCAAATCTAAGGTTTTCCTATGGTGAGTGTGGTGAGTCATTAAAAAGGAATGTGGTGACTTTCCTACCTGTTTGTAATTAATTCTTTTTTTTTTCTGATTTCTAGTTCTCTCTTGTGGCTCAGGGTACCACAAGAGTAGATATTGTATGCATCTTCCTGTCCTTACAGTTTTCCTGCTAACACTATTCATTTATCCTCTGCACTGTACACTTGGCATTGGTGTAGCACACCTGACCTTCACTGTGATGCTCTGTTCTGTTCTTCCTGTTACCTTTTGGAGTTTATCATAAAATCTCTTAGTTTGCCCTATGGCATTTCTATTCTACCGGGATTTTTTTTGTATTTGTTATGTGATTTTTTTTTTTTTAATGTTCTGGTTGGTAATATTACTGGCACTAATCTGTTTGATTCTAGTTAGAAATGGTAGTTTAATGGATTTTTGTTTGTTTTGGGGTGTGTGTGTGTGTATGTGTGTGTGTGTGTGTGTGTGTGTGTGTGTGTGTGTTGTTTTTTGAGACGCTGTCCTGGAACTCACTTTGTACACCAGGCTAGCCTCGAACTCACAGAGATCCACCTGCCTCTGCCTCCCGAGTGCTGGGATTAAAGGCGTGTGCCACCAATGCCCGGCCGAGTTTGCTAACTTTAAAACAGTAAGGCGAGATATACTCTAATAGCATATTTGTGCGCTTGCCTGGACCTAAGATGTAACATAAAAACACAGCATATGAAGACACATTTCTGAATGCTGTATTTACAATGTAGACTGCATACATCTGAGCTGGGAAATTAATGGGGAGTAAAGGTTTGTTTAATGTTTACAATCATATATATGGTAGTCCATAAAATACATTTTCTGTTTCACCATATCTTCACTAGTTCCTAATGTAATTATATCTACACAGCTCTCTGAGGATGCCTAGTATTGAGGCCAAAGGCCACTCTGTTGAGTAGGCATGTGGTAAACAAGGGAGTTAGAAAGTGTGGACGAATTTAAACTCCAGGAGCTTTGGAACTGCCACAATACCACAATACCCTGTTTGCAAACAACTGACAATGCAAATACTGTCCTAGGTTATTTTAAGAATTATTTTATGACTGATAGTCCTTCCAGCAACCGTAAAATAAGTGGGAATAAAAAGTACAGTTAGACATACTTTCTGAGATCTCAAAGTTAATGACAACGGAAAGACATTGACAGAATATCGAAAGCTGTGTCTGTAAGGATAAGGCAGTGGAAACTGGGTACCTAACAGCGCACTCCATGAGCAACAGGTCTAGGTGAGCACGTGCGTGGGGAGGAGGATGAGCAGAAGGGAAGGCCGTCTGGGAGCAGGGCCAGGAGAGACGAGACCCCCAGACAGAGAAGCAGTCAGAGAGCAAACCAGGACCGAGAGATAGAACCGGGAGAGGCGTCCTTGTGAGCATCCTCAGCGTCCCCAGGTCCCCGGCGCCCGCCGTGTCCCCCCCCCCCCCCGCACCCGGGTCTGCAGCGCGGGGTTCCCCAAGTCCGATAGGGAATGGAGGGATTTCTTGTCACTTTAGCCTGGTTCCTTGGAGACGGCTCCTCCCGGCCCCGCCCAAAAGACCCCCTTTCGGGTTACCTGTCCTTAAACCTTCCCACCGTGGGCTCTTTTCTGAATTGGTAACCCCATTCTCCGCCTCCCCTAAGATTGCTTTCCTCTGAACTCCTCTGATTGACAGGTGTCCCGCCCCCAGGGCCCCGCCCCTCCCAGTCGGTCTCCTGCCGCCTTCCCCATGGCTGCAGCTGTCAGGCTGCCCTGGACCGGCTCTGCACAGACTCCACATACGCTTGCTGCAGCCTAGACCAGAGCTGCATCCGGGAGGACGCTGGATGAGTGAGTTCTGAAACCTTCGGAGACAAGTTATCTTGCCTCATTTATCTTGGAGTAGCAGACTCCTGGGTTAAAAACGCTGAGCAAAAGACAACCCATGCCCTAAACTGACCTTGGGCTCACTCCAGGAAACTGAATCCATACCTGACACCAGAGACTAGATAGACTAACTCCTAATGGTATACTGTTTTACTTACAGATCTGTGCCTTTTTTTCAGCCATCATCGGAGAAGCTGCCTCATACAACATATGGGAATAAATACAAATAGAAATATTCATAGCTATACATTCAACAAAGAACAGGGACCTTGGAACACAGAGCTCTAAATGGGTTGTCTCCAGACAGTCCCACCACTCAGAGCTCAGGGAATGCCACAGAAGAGGAGCCAGAAACAATGTGGGGGTGGGGCACGGAGGTTACTAGGAAAACAAAATCTCTAAATAAACTAAGCAAAGGTCATGTGAACTCACATATAATGAAACAGCAAACACAAGGCCAACATAGATCTTCACCAGGTCCACTGTGTATATATTATAGCTTTCGGTTTAGCGTTTTCAGTGGGATCCCTGAGTGTGTGAAACACTGGGGCTCTAATTCTTCTGCCTTCTCTTGGGGCTCTTTTGTTGTTGTAGACATTTTGTTGTTGTGGATATTTGCCTTGTCCAACTTTTAAGTGGTGGTTTTGTTTTACCTTACTATATTTTATTTCATTATATTTTGCTGTTGATTTTAGTAGTCTGTTATTTTCCAGTGAGAGAACGAAAGGGTGGTGACGGAACATGGGGAGGAACTGGGAGGAGAATAATTAAGTTGGGATTTTGATGGGGATTTAATCTTTTGTTTGATTTCATTCGGATGATCATGTTTTCTGTATTATTCCAACCAATCTGTGAGAATGAGGCGTACTTCCATCATCTGAAATCTTCAACTTCTTTCTTGAGTTGAACTTATTTTCTATTAGTACATTTTATTGAAGTATTTTTCATACAATATATTTTTGATCAATTTTTAAAAGATTTATTTATTTATTACATATGCAGTGTTCTGCCTACAAGCCAGAAGAGGGCACCAGATTGAATTGTAGATGGTTGTGAGCCACCAGGTGGTTGCTGGGAATTGAACTCAGGACTCCTGGAAGAGCTGTCAGTGCTCTTAACCTCTGAGCCATCTCTCCAGCCCCTATTTTTGATCAATTTTATAACCTCCCAAACACTCCAAAAAGTCCACAACTCCCTATGCACTAAACATTATGTTTTTCTCTCTCTTTAAAAAAGAAATAAGCTGAGGAGTGGTGGCACATGTCTTTAATTCCAGCCCTTGTGAGGCAGAGGCAGGCCTATCTATGTGAGTTCAAGACCAGTCTGTTCTACAAGAGCTAGTTCCAGGAAAGATTCCAAAGCTACACATGGAAACCCTGTCTCAAAAAGCCAAAATACATAAATATAAAAAAGAAACAAAATAAAAAATATTACAAAAACTCAAAGATGGAAATCAAAACCCCTAAACAAAAGACCAATAAGCCTGGATTAAAGGTATGTTTAACCATTTCTATTACATTTAAAAAATATCTTTACTGAATTTCTGTTACATTCTAAATACATTCCTTTTGTGTAAGTGGTTCGGATTTCACTAAATTCCCTCAGAAAGTGATTGGCTCCCTCTTCTTTTTTATGGTACATTCTCATCACCATTCTCTGAACTCATTGTTTAGTATGCCACTGAGTTTACTCTGTGAGTACATGGCTGTGGCATTTTGTGTCATGTTGTATTGATATTTCCATGTGTCTTTTGTTTCAACATTGGGGTAGGCATACATTGGGAGCAGGACACATATTGGGTTGTTTTCATCCCTCTTCTTTCTTTTAGTTGACAGTTTGTTAGTGTTGAAAGGGGCCTGTTTGGTCAGGGTTGAGATCTGCTCCTCTCCTCTGAAGTGCATCTTGAGCCCTGTACATACGTTTCAGCTCATGAGTCCTGTTCTCTGAGAATGATTCTTCTTACCACCCTGAGACTATGACAGCCTTGATTGATTTCACTCTATCTGAGCAACCTGAGCTATCACTTCAGATTAAACAGCAGGTTTCTCTGAAGCTAAAGACAGTCAACTTCAACACAGTGCTTTGAAGTCAGGCACTGTGAATACTATAAAACCAGTCACCTTAGAAACATACTTACTTTTGTACTTTCTGGTAATACATAATACAATTATCAAATCTCAGATTGTGATATGATGAATGTGGCAAGGTTTGTGAGTGATCATATCATCATTAAAAGGTATTTTTTTCCTTTCCTGTTTCTCATTAATTCCTTTTTTTTTCTTCTTAAAATGTCTGTGGATTTAACAAGACTGGAGAGTACATGCATCTTCTTCTCCTTAGTCTTCCTGTTCCACTGCTCATTTTTCTCTGAACTGCACCACTGGCACTGTGTAACATACCTTTATTATGTCAGCTGTATTCTGTTTCTACCCGTGTCCTTTAGGAGTTTATCACAAAGTCTCTTGAAGTTTGTCTTATGACAGGAATTTTCATATCACAGGGCCTTTATTCATTATGTGATTAAAAAATATTTTAGCAGGTAAAGTTACAAGTAGTAATTTACTTTCTTCTGGGTGGAAATACTTGGTTTGCTGGGTTTGGGGTGTTGAGCTACCCAGTTTTCCTCTACTCAACTCTTCCTTATGTAAAATGCCTTGTATCATGTGTTCTTGTAGATAATTCCTCTCTGATTTTTCTATCTATAACTTATGTGTTATTCAGATCTGCAGTGCTGCTTGCATGCATGATATTTGTTATTTTATAACCATGTTTATATGCCCCTTCTCCTCCATGAATTTCCAGAGTCCATGTTTCTGAGTGCAATAAATAAGGATGATAGTCATTTTGTTTCCCAACTCCAAATATATCCTTCCATGCTCTCCTGTCTCTAGGAATGTTGACAAGTTTTCTGGTATCATCTTGATTTTGAGGTTTTTATGTCATTTACCATTGCCCATAAGACTGATACTAATTTTAGCTTTGTTTTTTGGTGACACCTTGATGGAAAATTTCAACAACAATTCCAGGATTTGTGTCTGAGACAGAAACTCACAAGACAAAAAAGAATGAATGCTTCTCTGGTAAATGATCCCCAGGTCAGTGTCATGTATACATTTTTTGAAAGTTATTTTTATTATTGAAACCATTTAAGACTTTAATTCTTTATCTCTGGCAATGCTATATAAAGTGTTTATTTTCTTTTTCCCCTCTGATAAATAATATTAAGTATTAGGTATTTCACTAACATAGCAAAGACTTTCCCCATTTTAATTTGTCTTCATTTTTTAAACACGAGTACATAAATTTTCTTGAATTTGACATCTGCATTCCATAAGAGAATCTATTATAAATTAATCTCAAAGAAATATATTGGTGGCCATTTTCTACATAGAATGGACTTGTGTTCTTTTATATTAGCGAGCAAGGAAGATCTCGTGTGTCAAATAGATTTCAGTTCAGGAATGAAGTGTTTTTAGCGGCAAGCTTATGAATGTGTACAGGCAAATACATGGACCTTTTCACTAACATCAGTGAGCAATTAATACAAAAGTCAAATTAGAATGGGCTCGCTGTCCTTAATTTTAATAATAAGAATTACAGCACCATAGAGGCACAAATGATGGAAGGAATACGTGGCTGGCTCTTGCATAGGATAGATATGTCTATAAGGAGATGCAGATTGCAGTATTCTAGTATTTTGCCATTTTATTTCACTGTGATGATGTGTATGTTGATGTGCATGTATTTGTCTCAGAAGGGGTTCTGTCCAATGCTCTGTATTATGTTCTCAATAAATAGATAATTATTTCCTCCGTTTTGTTTTATTTTTCAGAAGGGGCATAAGGACTGCTCTCTCCATTTTGTATCATGTAGAATATATTAGTAAGAACTTTCCAGAGAATATTGACTTGGTCCTGCACATAAACCACCACTTCTCAAAAAATAAATGACTCTCCCTCTTAGTTACGTTATTCCCTTTTTGTCCTTTGGAGGAAGAAGGCTGCTTCCACTCAGTGTTTTTTTCTCTCCCTGAAGCTATGTATTATATATGGAGAAATTTAAAACCGGCGTTGAGATGTTTCTATTTCTTTCTTTATAATATTCTATTTAAGTATATGAGTGCTCATTTGCATATTTTATGGACACTACATGGCATATTATGCAACTGGATCCCCATGGTTGGCATTAACCTTTTACACTGTAGCCAGGACTATAGTGAGTTGCCATGAGATGCTACTTCATAGGGTTGACAGCCCACACATTCACCCTTTCAATAACAGATGGGGAGTTCTTTTTGATATATATGTGTTACTACTTTTGTTCTTTAAATATGCCTGACAACCTCTATACAAGAAGCAGATTGAAAGGAGACGCCGCGCCACTAAACCTACTCCTCACATCTCTTGTTCCAGCTGTTCAGTGAACAGCACTCACCACAGTTGGCACGTATCTTGTTTCCCACTGATTCATCTTAAAACCAGTCTTTGGTCAGGAATCTCCATGTTACACAACATTAATCATGAACAAAATTCTCAAGTAATGTGCATCACGGTTCCTGTCTGCCTAGTCACTGTCCACATTGACTGAAGTAAAAAATAACATACCATGCAGAAAATGTAACAGAAAGAACTGAGACCCACAGAATCTGTGGAGATCTAACTTCCTGCAGTCTCAATCCAAGTCAGTGTACAGCTCCTTCAAAAACAAAAATTCATATAAAATGCAACTGTATCACACATGTGGTTTTGTATGAAATGTCTAATTGTAGTACATTCTCAAAATAGTAATTACTCATGGATCAACACGGAGAGAAACAGCAACAGAAAACAGAATATACATATATGTATATATATATACACATATGTATATGTATATATGTGACATTTTAACACTGAGAAATGGCTATCAAGTTCTCATATTAACATAGTGACACAATCAATCAGGGTTTTTCTCTGCCCTAGAGATTATAAATATTTTGATTTAAAAGGAATGCACAATTTCAGTGAACTCAACAAAGTAAGGCTAAAAGATATGAAAACTTGAGAAATCTCCACGTATTCATTCAAAATGTATTATAATTATTGCAAATAAAAGACAACAGGAAATAATAATTATAGACAAAGTTTAGTACTTTTAATCAAAGTCCTGCTGGTATTATATGAAGGATTGGAAACTTTGACCTAAAAATAGACTCCATAGGAAATACAGAAAGAAGTTACGAGATTAGGAAACAGAAATGCAGGAATATTTCTAGATTGACAGTATCCTAAAATCAAAGTAATGAAAATCATATAAATTATATGAACACACAAAATACATACACAGTCAAATAAAGTATATTTGTCCCTAGTATCCATACTTACATGAAAAATCAGTCCATGTACAATAGGATAATCTTAAAATTATTTACAGTGGAAAAATCCAGATTCATTTATAGAGAAACAAATTAAGGCAAACCCAATCCCATTTCCCAATTGCTCATTTGTGTTTTTAAAATGTATTTTTAGCTTATGTTCATTAGTGTTTTGTAGAATACATGCACGTGTATGCATGCTGATTATTCATGGCTTTTGCCTGCTGAGGTCAGATAAAGGCATCTGAGCTACTATAATTAAAGTTATGAATGGTTGTCACCTCATTGTCAGTGGTGGGAACTGCAACCATGTACTCTTCAAGAACAGCAAGTGCTGGGCCGGGCAGTGGTGGCGCACGCCTTTAATCCCAGCACTCGGGAGGCAGAGGCAGGCGGATCTCTGTGAGTTCGAGGCTGGGCTGGACCGATAGCCTCCAAAACAATACAGAGAAACCCTGTCTCGAAAAACCAAAAAAAAAAAAAAAAAAAAAAAAAAAAAGAACAGCAAGTGCTGCTGAGCCAATGCCCATCCCCATTCCACTTCCAATGTCACTGGAACATGTCAACGCACCTACCTAAATCCTCCTACTTTCTTTCTTTCTTTCTTTCTTTCTTTCTTTCTTTCTTTCTTTCTTTCCTTCCTTCTTTCTTTCTTTTCTTTCTTTCTTTGTTACTACCTTCCAGGCCTCTTTCTTCTGCTACACTTAGAAGTCTGGCTTCTAAGTGAGTCCAGGCTATGAGAAAGAAATTCTACAAAAATCCTTGGATTTCTAGCACAACACTGTGCTCCATAAATAAAGAGAACTCAATACATGGTTGCCTACAAAAGATGCCTTAACTCTCATGCATTGTTACAGTATTAAAATCCTCCTTTGAGGGAACATCTTCAGTTAGCATAACTGGATTTCAACTGCTGCTAATCATAGGTCATTCAAAAACCAAGTGTTAGCTTGGAACTGAATGAGTGGGATGACAATATTTATACACTACTGAGTTTCTTAACTTATCATGGAATAAAAGGAAGAAAAAGAGTCTTATACCTGCCAAAACGACCAACATGAAGAAGACACAAAGCACCCTGTGATGTTCCTTTCTCCTCTCAGGTTCTATCTTTACTCTGTGAGACATGAGACTCATTTAGACTGAGCTCACAAACATACAGAGTAGTTTTCATTGAAAACCCAGGGAGCAATAGAGACTGTAAGTAAGATAATTACACTGCAAAGAACGACACGACTAAAAATTCAACAACCAATCTCTGTAGAAAGCACACTGATCAGGGTCTAGACATTGCCCTACCTCCTGAAAGAAGTGCATGGCCTTAAAACAAAATGCCATCAAGTCCCGTAAATCAAAGAGTGTTTGAGCAAGTTGTGTTGGTATGGTGTTTTAATCCTAATAGTAACTGGGGAGAGGCAAGTAGATCCTAACCTCAGTCTACAAGGTGAGTTCTGAGACAAGACGGGGCAACAGACTGAAATATTTAACAAAACAAAGCCCAACCAAGTACCACCAAAGCAAGTCAGCCACTTATCCATGAGACTAGTGCTTTTGTTGAGCCATGGAGACAAAAGGCAATTAGAACTGGTTTCTCTGATACCATATCAGAGTTATATAAAAGATGCTTTTCCATTTTGTGGTAATCTCTACTGCATTTTGTCACTGTAAACATAGTGTAACCTGATATACTCTAGTAGCATATGGACCGTACTTTACTGCCCTGTAAGGGGTAACATTAAGAACTTACCATATGAACACATTTCTGAATGCAGTATTTACACCCTAGTGTGCACACACATGAACTGGAAAACTAATGTGGAGTATAGACTTGCTTAGGAAATGGTAACACTTTCAACCACTATTGTGCGACTTGGGGACATTATATTTTCTAATTCAATAAAATCTGCACTGGTTCCTCTTAGAAACACTTGCTTGAATAGTTAAGTGCTACAGTAGAGGAAGTTAGAAATCATTTATATATTTAAATTCCAATGTCTTTGAAATTGCCACTACAACAGGAAAAACACTATGTGTGTAAAAGAGATAATGCAAATCCTCTCCCACATCTTCTGTAAATGTACAGGCAACCATATGATAAATTACAAGGATTCTAAATCCCATTTCATATGATCTAAAGTTGACTGACAGAGGGAGAGGTATGCACAACACTGTTTGATCATACTTCCAGGTGCTCATATGTGGGCATATTTGCATGTGGGCCACCCTGCCTGAAGATGACTAAAGGAAGTGTCTCAGTGACTAAGAAACCAGAAATGCATTTTCTTATGTTCTTAGCAACCCCTGTGAAGGATAGTTTGACACCCAAAGGCGTTGTAACCCTCATGTTGAGAACAGCTGCTCTAATATGAATTTTCTGTTTACAAATTTAGAGGAAAAATTAATGGATTCAGCACATGTTACACTTTTCTTGGAGAGATGAATCATATATTTGCATCTGTTCACCCCAAATGGGAACTGAAAACAGAACCAATTATAACTTGTTGAGCCGACCAGCTTTATTTGCCTTCCTTACAGAAATACGGGGAAGGTGTACTTTACCAGAGCAATATTCAATCAGCATGGGGCACACTTAATGAATATTGGATACCAGAGCAAACATGGGCATATCTACAGGCTAAAGAGTATCCAGGTTTGGTGACTCAATTTGCCAAATCTTCTTCTAGGGGGTATGATTTGTCTGAGTTTCTTTGAGTGAAGCACACTGAATCTCGTCCGTTTCAA